GCAGTAGTTTCAGTCTCAGTAGAGCCATGTATGGTTCTTGGTGTAGAGTTTGGGGATGTATGCCTTGCAAGGCAGGTATGTCTCCAGTGCAGACGGCACCCTGTCCAGGGGAAAGACTGTAGAGACAGGAACCCACCTTTCTGAGTGAACATGAGCTTCTCATCTGAATCCTTGTACTTCTGTTCACTGTTCAGTAACTGCAGCTGGTTGTTTTTTTGTATGGTGTCTGGGTTTCAGAGTTGTCTTCTTTAGGAAGGTTGTCTGAGGGTTTTTAGTCCAATATATCTGGAATCAAAACTCTAATGTCCTTTTTTAATAGTAAAATTTTGTATTTTGTAATTAATGATAATTAACAGTCTAGGAAAGTTTTTCTAACTTCTGCCTCTTTAGACTATATGTGAAATGGGGGAAAGAATTCATTCACTTCAACATTGCTTGACCTAATATATAAAACTCTATCTACCTAGCTTTGCAATTAAAGTTTTAAATCACAGAAGACACTACAAGTCATTTCTGGGATTGTTTAATAATGGCCAATTCTTACAAGGCATGATGCAAGAGATACAGACAAGTGTTTAAAAGATCCTTTTCCAGCAGTTTAGAAACTAATACAGAGGATACAATAAATGCATAAAAAACGGTAACACAATGGTTTTGCTTGGTACCATAAGAGAATTATAAGGTATAAGGGAAGTTCAGATGGGGAGAGACTAATTCTCAGTGGAGAAATCAGGAAAAGACTTCATGAAAGAGCTGGCATTTGGGTTGGTTTCAAAAGTGGGAGCTGTTTGGGGATGAAAAGAAAGGGGGTGAATTTCAAGAAGGAGTGGCATAAATAAAGGCAAGAAGGAATGCAAAAACCATGTGGGTAACTTTGCACCTGTGGATCTCAAAGTTTAGTGTATGCAAGAATCACCGGACAGGGCTTCCCTGGAGGCTCAGTTTTGAAGAATCCGCGCACCAGTGCAGGAGACACCGGTTCAGCTCTGAGCCGGAAAGATCCCGCACGCCTGGGAGTCTCTAAGTTCGCTCACCGCAACTACTGCGCCTGCGCTCTAGGGCCTGCGAACTGCAACTACTGCGCCTGCGCTCTAGGGTCTGCAAGCTGCAACGGCGTTCCCTGGAGGCTCAGTTTTGAAGAATCCGCGCACCAGTGCAGGAGACACCGGTTCAGCTCTGAGCCGGAAAGATCCCGCACGCCTGGGAGTCTCTTAAGTTCGCTCACCGCAACTACTGCGCCTGCGCTCTAGGGCCTGCGAGCTGCAACTACTGCGCCTGCGCTCTAGGGTCTGCAAGCTGCAACGGCGGAGCTCACGAGCCCCAGATCCCTGCTCCGCAGCGATAGAGGCTGCGCAATCAGAAGCCCGTGCAGGAAAACTGGAGAGTATCGCCGCTGGCCACAGCAACAGAGAAGAGCTCACAGCAACGAAGACCCCACACAGCCAAAAACAGCTACATAAAGTTATATATATATATATATATATATATGTAAAGAATCGCCTGAGAAAGCTATGTGGGCCCTCGAGCCTTATTAGAAAACTGATTTAGCAGTCTGAGATGAGGTTCGGGAATCTGAAGTTTTAAGAATAACCCCAAAGTCTTTTCATTCAGATTCTCTGGGTCCCCCTCCCCACCCTCTTCACGAGACTGCCTTAGAGTGGGACCTGTGTGTGGAATAATAGGAGATGATTTGGAAAGATGATTTGGAATCAGGTGGCCAAGAGGCTTAGCAGCTGTTTCAACAAGTTTGTTTTGGGGACTGAATAAAGTTCACAGTGTCATATATTTTAGAGATATATTTTGAAATGTTTATACCTGATTGTTGGAATTTGCTTAAAAAATAATACAGTTTGGGCAGGATTGAGAAATGGAGGGAGAGAATGGGTGAGAGTGTGGAGGAAACAGAACTGGCCATGTGTTGATGACTGCTGAAGCTGGGTGATGGTTTATTATGTTGCCCTATCTACCTTTGTGTATGTCTGAAAGTTTCCATAATAAAAAATAAATAAGAAAAGAACAGAAGAAAATGGTGAGAAAACAAAACGAGAACAACACTTAGAGATGCAGAGTAGTGCTGTGGTTAGTGCATGTCTTATTTACCAGATGGCTTATTTGGTGACATTTCTTAGCGAGCCCTCGAGTTCCTCACCTTTAGAATAGGGATAATAGTATATTATGGATAGCGTTCTTCAGGGATTAAATGCAGTATGTAATGTGAAACAGCACAGTACCTGGCCCATCATATTTTATAAGAGAGCTTATTTTTATAATTACTCAACTTTGGCAGGCAACAGAGAGCTATTAAAAACATTCAAGCCCGAGAGTGACTAATCAAAAAACTGTTTCCAAAACATTCGAAAAGCTATTTCTGCTTACTGGGGTTACTACAGAAGAAAAGTAAACTTTCAGTATTAGAGCCCAAGAATACAGTAAGACAGGTCATACCTTCCTCAGCCTTCCAGCTGAGCTGCGGAGGTTCTTGCAGGAGCTGTGAAGAGGCTGTGTCAGCCTTAGGAACGGAGGGACCGGTCTTCTGCTGGAATGAAGCCAGAGGCCTGGGGCGGGCAGGGGGCCGGTAGCGGCCAGTCAAGGGGCTGCATTTTGCAGCAGCCAGTGCGGCGGTGGGGGAACCCACAGCCGAGAGGAAACAATGTAAGCAGGGCCTGGCAGGTGCAGGGTCTATGGAGCTGGACTAACGGGCTGGGAGGGCAAGCCGGAGCCGGAAGGGGAAGGAGCTTGACGAGACATCAGGATGGGCTCAGAGACTTTCAGCAAAATGAGCAAACTGGTCAGAGAAAGACCTAGCGTTAAGTTCCAGTTCTAAACTGGTGAGGCTAAACCGCTGCAGAGGTTGGGAGCACCATCAGTTGGCAGAGGCGTTGAAGGGGGCGAAGGGCGTCTATTGGGGGGCCCTGCTGGCTCAGCAGTAAAGAATCCTCCTGCAACACAGGAGAGCAGTTTGGTCCTGGGGTCGGCAAGATCCCCTGGAGAAGGAAATGGCAACCCACTCAAGTATGCTTGCCTGGGAAATCCTATGGACAGAGGAGCCTGNTTCCAAGGAGTAAGCGTCTTTTAATTTCATGGCTGCAGTCACCATCTGCAGTGATTTTGGAGCCGAAAAAAATAAAAGTCTGCCACTGTTTCCACTCTTTCCCCATCTGTTTCTCATAAAGCGATGGGACTGGATGCCATGATCTTAGTTTTCTGAATGTTGAGCTTTAAGCCAACTTTTTCACTCTCCTCTTTCACTTTCATCAAGAGGCTCTTTAGTTCTTCTTCGCTTTCTGCCATAAGGATAGTGTCATCTGCGTATCTGAGGTTATTCATATTTCTCCCAGCAATCTTGATTCCAGCTTGATTTTACCAGAGAATTATTTATGTCTCATCTTGCTTTTGCCATAGTGATGTGGTCTAATGAAACATGAGTAATAGCAAGTTGTAAATATTTATCTTATCCTCCTCTTATCTCTCCTCTTTGAAAAGTCACCTCAAAATATCACTTATGGAAACACATGACTGCTTGTATGTGATACTTGAACTTTTCTCCATAGAGCGTGGTTATAAACTGTTGCCTATTTATTATGAAGGACCGCTATCACCTCTGTCCCCCATCCCAGCTAGTACTGGAAGAGAACTATTTTAGGCTTTAGATAAATGGTAAGGATGGAAACCTAAGTGACGTGTCCTGGTCTGAATTTCTGTAACTCTTTGATCAGATGACTATCAAAGCTTAGAGAATAAAGTCTCTTTTCAACAGTTTAATAATTTGTGCACACGCAAACACCAAAAACTTAACTCATGTGGCAATATGTTTTTAGTGAATGTTTTTGAGACAGCAGAATTATCCAGATACTTTACCCAACTTTCATTTTACTACTATAAACCTGTTCTTAGTCTTAGACAGTAATGTTAAATCACCAAGGAATTACTGAATAACTCATAAACACGCTTATAACATAAACTTTTCAACAATTAAAAAAAGTGACATAAACTAATATCTATTGACATGCAAAGGATATATATTAAGTGAAAAAATAAGGTTTCAGATGAGTAAATATATTGAGCTTATTTTGCACTCAAATTGTCAAATGCGTGCACCAGTGCATAGTGTTTATACACAGAGAAACTTCTTGAAGGATATACTCCATAATGTGAACAGTGGTTAAATTTCGTAACATGATTACTAGTAATTTCTATTTTCTTCTTGACACTTTATGTACTATATGAAGTTTATAAGGTAAGTAAGCATTTTGTTGTGTGTGTGATAAGGAAAGGTAAACCTTTGTGATGAAAAATGTGCCTGTATCACTTAAATTGTATTGACATATTGTCAGCAGTGAAGGACTCTAGGCTTTTCCCCTAGTTAGTTGCTTATAAGGCACAGTTATGGTGAGGGGTAAATCACTGTTTAAGGAAAAAAGTACAAAAAAGATGAACAGTCTATAGGATGAATACCACGTGGTTCCCATGAAAGTGTGGGCCATGTTCTATTGGAGTGATCCTAAGTGTTCAGTGTAACTCTAAGAACTGATGGCCCCTGTTGAGGTAATCTAATCCGATGCTTCACTTTATAGGTGAGGAAAGCGAAGACTAAAGACAATAAGTGAATTTTCTGAGGTGGCACAGCTCGCTAGTGGCAGAACTAGGAGTGGGACCCGGCCTGGGAAGCCCTTCCCACTCTCATTCTGCCACTGGAGGTCACATTTTCTGATTTCTACATATGTTCTCTCTAAACCACATTCTGAATGTTTTTTCTTATTTGATCTTCAAATGAAGAATGCTTCTATACTTATTTTTGAACCCATAGGTATTTGTATAGTGGAAGCATCTAGCAGAAGAGTTGCTTTATGATATAAGAGCCATACCTTAGAAAATTTTCATTGAAATACATTCAATTCCTAGTAGAAGAGAGTGTATACGCTTCTTAACTTTCTAGGGAGGCAGTTCACTCACACTGGCGTGACTCTGTCTGCTAATAATTCTTCTCTTTCTGTCCACAGCTGGCCACGTTCCGCACCCTCCTCTGCAGCAGGGAGGGGGAAGCGGCGGCTTTTCTGCTGAGCAATCACCGTCCACCACAGCCTCTGAAGGGCCGAAAAGTGAGAGCCTCTTTCCGTTAAAAGTCATCACCAAGAGACCACCCCAGACATGTCTGTGGAGAGGAAAGAAAACAAACACAAAATTCCTTACTAACTGTTCTTTCCTAGAATTGTAATTTACGGGGTGACTTTTATGGAGTGACATAGCCGTTTTGCCATCAGCTTGTGCCCAAAGAAAATCAGATCTTTTGAATCAAACTGACTTAAGTCACCTGTCTCAGATTTGCACTCTTAGGTATACAAGCAGCAAACATTGTTTGATGTGTATTAAAGCCCATGGAATGCATCTGTTTCAACCTGTGTGACCACACGGCAGGCATTGTAAACCTCAGAATATGCTAGGAATCGTCCCTTGCCATAGAGACTGATCAGTCACACCTCTCAACGGTGTTGGCGATATACTTAAATTCATTCCCAGAATGATAGGATTGTGGTACTTTTTTCTAAACAAGTGATTCTGCTGAATATCTTGATATCTTTCCAATTCATAAAAGTAGATACTATTTCCTTTTAAAGTGAACTTTCATTTGGATTATGTTGCTGGTTTTCGTTTCAGAGTACTTCTAATAAAACAAACAGAATGAGAGCTATGGAAAGATGGGATATAGTGAATTAAAGCATCTATTCCACAGCTGAAGAAGAGCCCATCCAGTTTTTGTGAGGACTTCCCCAGGATATAAATAGCTATTTAAACTTTAATGACTTACAGCATCTATCTCATTCCCTTGGTGATGGTAACAATAAACCGGCTAATAATTGATCAGACACAGTGATTGTCAGTTTATGGCATAAATGATGTTCATGGCATGGTTTGAAACTAATGAGGTACCATGCAGGCAGAGCTGCCCATGGGCTCGAGGAACAGATTGCCTGATTTTGCCCTATGTTTTGGCAGCAGGGCAGAGAGCAGTCTGTGAAGATCACTGTTTTGTCAACTAATGGGGAAAATCACTTGAGTCTCAAATACTTACTCAGTCCACAGTCCCATCAACCATTTCCATAGCAACACCTATCTCCCCTGACACACATGTCCCTCCATCTCTTAAGCAGTTTTGTAAGTTGGCTTTTGATTCTCACTTTAATCTGTTATCTCATATATTTTTGCTTGGTTTTGGTGAAAAAGAAAGGGACAGGTCCTTCTGCTCTTTCTGGGACAAAGGGAGTGACACTAAGCATTAACTTAATAATCAAATTTAAGACAAATACATACTACGCTTTTGTCATCTTCTGAAAGAAGTTAATTGAGTTTCCTTAATTGTGATGATTTGTTTCAGACATCTGTCTTCCTCTGGATGTACATTTTCATAACTGGAAGTATCCAGTAAATTGTGTAATAATGACATATATGTTTGCATTAAGACGAGTTCCTAAGACGAAAGTGCCTTTGATTTTCTTTTCCACTTTACATTATCTAGCTTGAGGCCTTGTAGGAGATTGACATATAATAAATATGTAATTAATTGAATATTTGAAAAACTTTATTTTGTATCTTTGGTAATTATGTTGCTTCCTCCAATCAAATGCACTGTTAAGTTCATGTAACAAGTAAAGTGCAATTTATCTCTTGAAAATTATTTTTTTCTTAAAGGAATACTTGTTAAATCTATATGTGTAACCAGAAGTTCTAATGGCTTTAGAAAGACCAGTGTTGAATGAATTTCTTTAGTTTGGAAAGACATGTTGTGAAGTACCCTAGTGAGTCAAAGAAGTCTGTTTTCTCAGAAAAAGTAACTAGCATGCAAGACAGGGATTCTAATTACTGGATATGAGCATTACCACTTTGTAATTCATGGTTTCTGCCACAGTATTACATCAGTTCTATGCTACAAATTGGACTTTAGTAGACTGAAAAAGTCCACACAGCACTGATTTCCTTGAAGATTGTCTGCTAATTTCTTTATCTCTCAGAGGCAAAAGGTCTACGTGTTATCCAAAATTGTTATCTTTTGAAAAGATTAAAGAGTTGTAAATACTAATCTTTTGTTTCCCACCTAGATTGGATTTATATTTGTTAAGCATTTTGTATTTTAACTTAAATTGGATTCAATCGCAATAAAGATAATGAGACAAACTTTGAACTTGTTGATGCAAGATACAGAATGAAATTACACTTTTACACTCTGTATTTAGAAGACAATTTCAAATCCACAGAAAAATTGTAAACAGCTTTTTTTTTCCCCTCTGAATTTGAGAGTAAAGTTGCCAACAGGTTACTTCATCATCTCAGAACCTGTAGTGTATATTTTCACAAGTTAGGACATGATCCTACAGAACTCTGTGTGTGTGTGTGTGTGTGTGTGTGTGTGTGTGTGNCCTGCCTTCAATCTTTCCCAGCGTCAGGGTCTTTTCAAATGAGTCAGCTCTTCGCATCAGGTGTCCAAAGTACTGGAGTTTCAGCTTCGGTATCAGTCCTTCCAATGAATATTCAGGACAGATTTCCCTTAGGATGGACTGGTTGGATCTCCTCACGGTTGTCATGCTTCTCTCGGTTGGGCGCTGGTCCTCAGTCTGTCTTCGGTTTTATGATTTTGACCACCTGATGCGAAGAAGTCTTTGGAAAAGACCCTGATGCTGGGAAAGATTGAAGGCGGGAGGAGAAGGGCACAGGAGGGCTTCCTTGGTGGTCCAGTGGTTAGGAATCTGCTTGCCAATGCAGGGGACACGGGTTCAATCCCTGCCCCGGGAAGATGCCACACGCTGCGGGATGGCTAAACTCACGCGCTGCCACTCCTGAGCCGGCGCCCGAGAGCCCTTGCGCCGCAGTTTCTGAAGCCAGGAGCCTCTGCGCGACAACAGGAGCCTCCGCAAGGGGAAGCCCGACCGCGCAGCTGCAGAGAGTCCGCACTCAGCAATGGGACCCCAGCGCAGCCACGAACAGATAAATAAAATTTAAAACACATTAAAAAACCCCAGCCCATTAAAAAAAAAAAAAAGGACACAAGATTATTTTTTCTACTAATGCTTTGATGAAGTGATAAATGGGTCCTTTCCCCCAGTGAGAAGGAAGAACAGAGATCGGCAGATGTGGCACCCACAGTGGAACCGGGTAACCTGGCCCATGCAGGACAGAGACTCCTGACGACTGGATCAGCGGGTCTTCCATGTGTAGACACCAGGTTCTGACCACGGTGGTCTGTCTCCCGGTGAGCTCTCAGGTTCCCGGAGGCAAGGTGTCTCCGTTAGACCTCTTTCAGCCTCCGTTGGATTTGTCCATCAACCAGTGTGGAGTGATGATGCCTACGAGTCACACGGCTGTGTATTTATGGATGGCTCAAGAAGCATTTGTTGAAAGAATTAACCAGTCAACACACGAATGGATAACTGCTCTGATTCTGTGTAAACTTAGCACATCCTGAAATTTGTCTTTCCTCAATACACTGGCGAGTGCCCATAAGTTACTGATCTGTAACTCTGTTAGTCGCTCAGTCGTGTCCGACCCTTTGTGACCTCATGGACTGTAGCCTGCCAGGCTCCTCTGTCCATGGAATCCTCCAGGCAAGAATACTGGAGTGGGTTGCCATGCCCTCCTCCTGGGGATCTTCCCGACCCAGGGATCGAACCCGGGTCTCCCCCATTGAAGGCAGATTCTGTACTGTCTGAACCATCAGGGAAGCTAAAAATCCAAGCAATTTGTTCTGTAAAGGAGATGTTACTTTACCAGTTGTGAAATTAAGCCAAGATAAATGTGCAGGGGCTCTAGGTTGCATTGCTGCGTTGTAACTAAACGGGACACCCTCTCCCCAGGATATGCTGTGCCTGTCGCTCAGTCGGGTCTGGCTCTTTGTATCCAGGTCTCCCACACTGCAGGCGGATTCTTCACCATCTGAGCCACCAGGGACCCCAGGACCATCTCCAGACAAGTTATTTCCCTTCTTGCAAAAGCCAAGGTTCTCATACCTCTCCTCTGAGCAAAACCTTCTACAGCCCTCATCTGGACAACTAGAGAATTTCCTTCTACAGAACATGGTACAGATCAGTGGCCCTGTCTTGTCTGAACACCGAGGGTTCTGAGACAGTTTCAAGGGGTCAATGAAGTCAAAACTATTTTCTGGATTTCCCTGGTGGTTCAGTGACTAGGACTCCGTGCTCTCCACGCCAGGATCCTGGGTTCAATCCTTGGTGAGGGAACTAAATTCCACATGCCAGAACCGAAGATCCCAGGTACCACTGAAAATGTGGAAGATCCTAGCACAACCAAATAACCAAACAAAACAGGGACTTGCAGACCAGTAGTTAAGACTTCACCTTCCAAGGCAGGGGGTTTGATCCCTGGCCAGGGAACTAAGATCCCACATGCTTCACAGCCAAAAAACCAAAGCATTTAAAATAAAAAATGGAAACAATTTTGTGACAAATTCAATAAAGATAAATAAACAGCAAACAAACAAAGAAACAACAATGAAAAAAAAACAAAACCCAAAGAAAAAGAAAACTATTGTCTAGTTGTCCCAGGAAGCTATTTGCCTTTTTCACTACTGGACACTTGGAATGCTAGTGCAAAAGCCATTATGTTTGGAACTGTTGCTTTCTTAGCATTAGGGTTGTGGCCATAAATGGTATTAGTAGTCATACATATGCATGCGAGGGTGCTAAGTTGCTTCAGTTATGTCCAATGGACTGTAGCCTACCATGTTCCTCTTGTCCATGGGATTCTCCAGGAAAGAATGCTAGAGTGGGTTGCTATTTCCTTCTCTAGGGGATCATCTTGACCCAGGGATCGAACCCATGTCTCTTAAGTCTCCTGCATTGGTAGGCAGGTTCTTTACCATTAGCACCATATGGGAAGCCCATGTACGTATATATATATATACGCACACATATATATACATATATATATGTATACATATGTATATACATATATATATTACTAACATAGAAAAGGTAAATGGTAGTCACATAGTCTCACCCTATTTGACATAGGATTAATTACTTAATTTCGGGTACTTCTAGATTTATTCTTCCTAACATCAAGTTCAAGGTCAAGAAACTTGCATCAGTTCTTGTTTAGGTGCTGAAGGAACAACACAGTTTTTTCTAAATTTAGGTTAGCTCCTTGAATCCAAGGCCACACTGCTTACTGTTGTCCCTCCAGTTCCTGGCCTAGTAGTTCCCTGGGTTCTGCTAACAGAAATTGCCCACTGACTTTTTGCTCCTAGCAAACTTCTCTTCTTTCTGTTCTAAGTACTCAGTTTGGGAAAAATTCTTTCCAGCCCTTTCTCTTTTTCTGATTGGGTGTTCATTCAGGTTTCCTTGCCACATCCTTTCCTAACCCCATCTTTTACATTTAACGATCCTCTTTTCCGTATCTCCTTCTCTTCCACCCTTAGGGAATTATCTCTCCAGGGCTTCTATCTTCCAGTTCTTGCTTCTCCCCTTGGAAAAGAGTAGCTGTCTTGGCAGGTTAGTTACGATTCTGCTTTCTTGCTGGGTCATAGCAATACAAGAGGGGGATGTGTGACCAGGTGTTGGCTGACACAATACTTTCCGAAGAACACGAGCTGATCTGCCTTGACGGAACTCTCCAGGTGTAGACACAGGGCCTCAGCTCTGCGCGGTCTGAAACCCAACTCATCACAACAATGAATACCCACAAGTGCACACCCACAGTAAGTGAGTTTTCAAGGCTGTTATATAAAACAAAACAAGTTATTAATTTAGGAAGAGTGATACGAGTCTTACCTTAGCTTGGGGTATTCAAGCTGGACCTTGAGTATGGTCCTTAGCTGGGTCGTTCATTCAAGGGACATTTACTGAGTTCCGCTAGGAAGGGTACCATACACAGAAAACTGAATCAAAGGTTTGCTTGGTGAGTATGGAACTCAGAGCAAAGAGGATAAATAGAAGCAGTAAGTGTTTTATATGACTAGACCTGGAAGACTATGAAACACCCAAGTCCGTGAAAGGGTGCTTTTAAAAATGAGATCATAATGATTGAATTTTGTTGGTTGTATCTCCAAGCACTGCCTCTAAAATACGGATAATATTGGCAGAAGGACTTTGGTCTGTTGGCTAATATTTTCTCAGCATTGGGTCATGCTTGGATAAACTTTATTAATATGCACTTCCGCAGTTTTCCTTTTTTCTGTTCTTTTGTGACGAATCAACCTTTGCCCTAGTTGGCACACTCTTTTTATTTGAACAAGTCACATTCACTCAAGTTAGAGTTTAAAATCTGAAGGCCACTCTTCCCTTTAAGGAGAGTTTTCAAATGTCTGCTCTTATTCATAATAAGAGTAAATCTTTCAAGAATAACAATGGTATTGTTTAAATCTATTTACTGAATAGATAAAAAAGAAAACAAAAAATGAGACAGCATACTAAAAAGAATTCAATACATCCCATTTCTTCATTTTATTCTGTTTTATTTTTATGGTGATTTTCTCCTAGGGAAACAACCTTTTATTTTATTTCAGTTCAGTTCAGTTCAGTTGCTCAGTCATGTCTGACTCTTTGTGACCCCATGGACTGCAGCATGCCAGGCCTCCCTGTCCATCGCCAACTCCCGGAATTTACACAAACTCATGTCCATTGAGTAGGTGATGCCATCCAACCATCTCATCCCCTGTCATCCCCTTCTCCTCCTGCCTTCAATCTTTCCCAGCATAAGGGTCTTTTCAAATGAGTTGGTTCTTTGCATCAGGAGGCCGAAGTACTGGAGCTTCAACTTCAGCATCAGTCCTTCCAATGAATATTCAGGACTGATGTCCCTTAGGATGGACTGGTTGGATCTCCTTGCAGTCCAAAGGACTCTCAAGAGTCTTCTCCAACACCACAGTTCAAAAGCATCAATATTCTTTGGTGCTCAGCTTTCTTTAAAGTCCAACTCTCACATCCATACATGACTACTGGAAAAACCATAGCTTTGATGGCAAATTATTTAAGTGTAGTTAATTTGCAATGCTGTGTTAATTCCTACTGTACATTAAAATGATATGTATATATTCTTTTTCATATTCTTTTCCATGATGGTTTAATCACAGGACTTTGCTGTTATTCATTCTGTATACCATTGCTTTCATCTCCTAGTCCCAAATTCTCAATCCATCCCTCCCTCCCCACCTTGGCAAAGGAGGTTCCG